GTTGCAGCCATCACTGTTGTTTGGCGGGCCTAGGCTGGATTCAAACCCGCCACCTTAGGTGTATGTGGCTGGCGCCTTAGCCACTTGAGCCACAGATGCCAAGCCAATTTCATTATTTCTGATGTTAATATTTTCATGGAAGTGTAATTCATTTGATATTTTTTGATTATTTTCATCTTTGATTTTCTTTTTCATATGTGTTTATAATTAAATAATAGAGTAGTACATGGGTATAATTCATGAATAAGTAAATATGCAGATATTAGAGTTATATATTCAAAAATGCTTTATTGATGGGATGCAAAATCCAAAATCTATGGTGATCACAAGTATGAAATACTGCCTTTTGGAAATAGTGTAAGTCTGGAACCAGAGACTAAGTCATAAGTCATGACATAGTCATTGGATTATTACACAGCCATTAAAAGCCGTGGGAATCTATGTGAATACAGAATCATTCCCAGAGCGTGTGCTGCCACTGGCATAAGAAAGGAGGAGGCAAATACAGCTATATACAGGGTCTGACAATTAAGTTTGAGAACTTGTCCCAGATAAAGGACTACTCCCTCACTGCTGGACATCACTGTGGTCACCTTTGAAGTACTCCCCTGAGGTAATTGTGCACCAATGCTGGTGCCTAGTATACCCTTCTTAGCAATTTTGGAATTCTTTTTTCTGGAATGGACATCAGAGCTGTCATCATAGGCCTGACAATTAAGTTCCCAAATTTGCCACCATGCCTTTAGGTTGGCAGCACTGTACAAACAACTTGGTAAGATTTCATAACCTTGGGCCAGGGCACAGTGGCTCACACCTGTAATCCTAACACTCTGGGAGGCTGAGGTGGGAGGATTACTTGAGCTCAGTCGTTCAAAACCAGCCTGAACTATAGCAAGACCCCATCTCTACTGAAAATAAAAAAATGAATCTGGCCATTTTGGCAGATACCCATAGTTCCAGCTACTCAGGATGCTAAGGTTGCTGTGAGCTAAGTTAGTGCCTTGGCATTCTAGCCCAGGCAACAGAGTGAGGCTCTGTCTCAAAAAAAAAAAAAAAAAAAATCTCATAACCTTGGCATATCAGTGCCTTGATGTGTGGTGGGTGGTGTTCATTATTGTTGCATGTTTTTGTGTGCCGTACAACGTCAGCTCTGAAAGTCGTTTCAGAAAAAGAGTGGCAAAATTATTGTGAAGGGTGGAGTAGGCACTGGCATCAGTGCACAGCTTCCCAAGGGGAAGACTTCAGAAGTGCTCAGAGTGATATTCAGCAGTGAGGCAGCACTTTTTCTGGGATGAGTCCGTGAACTTAATTATTGCTGGACTCATTTACCACTGAGCCTGATACACACCCACACTCACACTGACCCCCAAGTCCTTACTGCCTCTAAGGAAGAGGACTGGAACCCAGCCTGTGTGAGAGACGTTTTTTACTGTATTCCCTCTTGTGCTATTTGAATTTTATATTATGTGAAGGTTTTATTTTTTAATTAAAATGAGTAAAAGAAGAGAAACATCACTTTAAAAAAGTGAAGTAAATAAAATACTGCCTCTTTGTAGCTAAGTTTTCATGTCACATCTATAATTATTTCCTTAGGAGAACCTCTGCTAAATCCAATTAAGGGGGCACAAGTAAATGTGTGTGTAAGGTCCAGCTACATTTGACACATTAGCCTCTAGAAAGGCTAATAGCCATGTTTGGCTATTTAAATTCAAATTAAAGTTTAACTTAATTAAAATTAAACAAAGTTTAATTTCTCACTGGTCTACCAGGTGGCTAATAGAATCATAGCCTGTACAACCCTGGGTGGGACCAGTTTCTCTCCCCACTGCCCATGTACACATGTGCCCATTTCTCTGCATCTCTGCCAATACCAGGTTTCTAATCTTTGCTGATGTGATCACTAAAATGTGATGACTCCTTATTTCTACTTTCCAGCTCTGTTTGTATTTGTTCCTTTGTGACTTGTCTGTAGCCTTTGTCCTGTGATCTTTTTGATTTGTAATTTCTGATATATTGAGAATTTCAACACTCTGTGGGCTTTCTAGTCCTATTCCTTTCCATGTTTAACACTTCTCATTGTAGCTGGTATAATTTACTCATACACCTGCCTGCCAGACAGCAGGTTAAGGACAAGGTTAGATAGACCAAACAGACAGCTAGGTTCTTTTTTTTTTTTTTTTTTAAGAGACAGAGTCTCACTTTGTCACCCTTGGTAGAGTGCAGTAGCATCACAGCTCACAGCAACCTCCAACTCCTGGG